ATATGGGTTCCTATTTTAAAACACATATTTTAGATTGACGTGACATGATGTGAGAGTCAGGCCCTTCTCCAGGAGTTTGGTTCCAGAGCCAGTGCTGTGCGTGGAGGTAAGCCCAGCTATATGTAGTTGGTACCGCTCCACCTCCTGCACCAGCTCCAATTCCTTCCCCACCAGAGAGGTGACATTCCACGTCATCGATGATCGACTTGGACAGTGGAAGGAGCACTTGGAGGATCTCCTGCACCCGGCTGCCACGTCCGCCATGGAGGAGGCAGAGTCTGAAGAGCCAGGGGAACTCTTGCCCATATCCCTGGCAGAGGTTGCTGAGGTTGTCATAAAGCTCCCCAGCGGCAAGGTGCCAGGTGTAGATGAGATTCACCCTGAGATGCTGAAGGCTCTGGACACTGTTGGCCTGTCTTTACTGACACGCATTTTCAGTGTTGCGTGGAGGTCGGGTACGGTGCCTGGAAAATGGCAGACCGAGATGGTGGTTCCCATTTTCAAAAAAGGGGACCGAAGGGTGTGCTCCAACTATTGGGGTATCACACTGCTCAGCCTCTCAGGTAAAGTGTACTCCAGGGTGCTAGAAAAGAGGCTCCAACCAATTGTTGAACGTCTGATTCAGAAGGAGCAATGCGGATTCGGTCGTGGCTGTGGAACGGTGGACCAGCTCTTTACCCTTGCAAGGCTGCTGGAGGGGTTGTGGGAGTTTGCCCATCCAGTCTACATGTGCATTGTGGACTTGGAGAAGGCTTACGATTGCATCCTTCAGGGGGTCTTGTGGGGAGTACTGTAGGAGTACAGGGTACTGGGCTTGCTGCTACGAGCCATTCGGTCCCTGTATGACCAAAGTGAGAGCTGTGTCTGCATACTCGGCATAAAGTCAAACACGTTTTTTGTGGTTGCCTCCACCAGGGTTGTCCCTTCTCACCGATCCTATTTGTGATTTTCATGGACAGGATCTCGAGGTGCAGCCAGGGGGAGGAAGGGGCCTGGTTTGGGGACTTTAGAATTGCATCTCTGCTTTTCGCAGATGATGTGGTTCTGTTGGCTTCATCACACCATGACCTCCAGCATGCACTGGGGCGGTTTGCAGCCAAGTGTGAAGCAGTTGGGATGAGAGTCAGCATCTCCAAATCTGAGGCCATGGTTCTCTGCTGGAAAACGGTGGATTGCTCTATCCAGGTTGGGGGAGAGCTACTGCCTCAAACAGGGGAGTTCAAGAATCTTGGGGTCTTGTTCACAAGTGAGGGTAGAATGGAGCGTGAGATGGATCAGCTGTTTGATGAGGATTCTGCAGTGATGCAGGCGCCTAGCCGGTCCGTCGTAGTGAAGACGGACCTATCTATCATCTATCTATCTATCTATCTATCTATCTATCTCTTCAATAAGTGGTTCTGTGAACATTTGTACTTGTTGGGTTGACTGGTGAGTATCTGACGTCGCTTAAGACTGATGCTGTGGAACCAAAGACTTCTGTTTTGGCAGCTTCGGCCCCTTCATCCTTACATCTCTTCCTCATCTCCTCTGCTTGTATCTTCCATGGATGAGCTGAGAGGAAAGGAAGCAAGTGAAGGAAGCAAGGAGACACATTATCATGATGAAATGCACCCATGGTCAAAGGCAACCAGCCTCCAGAGCAAGATTTTTTTTTTCTGAGATTTGATTCCATAAATGTCTGTCAAGAATTTGAACTGAATTACATTTAAAAATAGTTTAATTCCTGGCCCTACTATTACTATAAAACTATGATCTGCTGTATGTTAGATTGTCAGAGATGCAATGCATTGAGTGCCTCAGCTGTCTCTTATTGAGCCACAAGATGGCAGCAAATGTATTGACTGACTGTGTAATACTTCAGAAAGTTTGTCATTAGAAAGATAAGAATGAACACCAGGTGTTCACACAGAATATTATGTCTGTGTTATCATTGTTAATATTATCATGCATACATGTACACAAATTATGTCTATAAATAACACCAGATTGGATGATAATACTTTTCAGTTTAGTTTCAGTTTTCAGTTCCCCTCCAATCCATCAATTGATGATTTCAAGTGGGTATGTTCCCTGAGGAGTAGTACATTTGAATTGTATAGCTGAAATTGCAGTTGAGTCATGCTGTGCTGCAATGATGAGCTATGATGTGGAGCAGCTGACAAGCTACAGTGCTACCTGCTCTCCTTACAGCAAAGCAGTTGACAGTTGTTTGGAGTAAGGTGAAGGGACAGTGAGGTGGCTAGCAGCTAATTTATCGTTTGTGGTCTGATAAACAGAGAGAGAGAGAGAGAAAGCATGGCAAGGAGGGACTCGGCAAATGTGTTGCATGCAACTCTTAAATTTGTAATTTCCTCTTTTTGTTAAAATACTTTATTTAAACCCTTTGTGCTCTGATGCTGCTCAGTTTCATATCTTGGCTAGGCATGCCATATAGACCTATTGTTATTTATAGATATGTTGGGTGTAAATGGAATGAATAGTCTTAGTCTCTCTGTATGTGTGTCTGATGTGCAAACATTGACAGATAGCTAAGTGTAGCAGGCTTGACTGATGACTCAGGATAAATAGTAAAGTTGATCTCTCTTTACTTGCATGTATTGAGACGTCACATTTCTCTTAGTACAGACTATTTTTGTAATCTGAAATGACAGTAAAATATAAATATATATATATATATATAACATGATTTATACATCAGTAATGTCCCCTGGTATAAATGATAAAGTTCACTTACAAACGAGGCTTCTCCAAGGCTTTACACAAACAGGTGGAGGTTGATTCTAGAGGCCACAGAACTTTGTCAGCACGTATTAAAAAAAAATATGGCCAAAATGAACCATGACCTAGGTCACATTTGTTTTAACTAATTACAGTAAAACAAAGAAGAGGCAGTTTCTAAAGTGCCTTTACTTGAAAGTCATACCAGAAATAGTCAGCAGGGGTGCTAAATTTAAAACCAGCGAATGGTACATGACAATTCTGGACAGTTTGTATGGAAAAAAAGAATGTTAGAACCCTTTGAACTCTGCAATAGAGGCCTTCCACCAGTTCCTACATTGGTATTTTTGCTTATTGTGATGTCAGTCCCTGGGGTATCTTCAAATGCTTCATATCCCTCAAATTTGCACTAATCTAAAAAGTTTTGTTAGTCAGTAAACTGTAATAATTGATAAATGTGTTGAAACTGTATAATTAAAAAAAATCATAAATATTTTTTCATCAGATTTTACAAAATAGAAACACAAAACATATTGATCCAAAAAAAATTCAAAAACTTAGAAACATAAACAAAATACTTCTGAGCACTTATTAGGTGATTTATACTATGTACAGCATTTAGTTGTTAAGAATTGCTCATTTGTATGTCCAGAGTGCAAAGGCAGTATGATAGATTCATCACCGATTCCTCAACACTGCGTGCTTTTATAACGCACGTAAAAAAAAGTATTATTATTTTTATTTATTTAACCCTTATTTAGCCAGGGAAACCCATTGAGACTGAGGTTATGATTTGAAGAAAAATGAAAAAACAGCAAAAAGAAGACAGTAAAACATCAGTACTTTCACATTCACATACCTCAACATCAAGCTCATGAAACAGATTTCCGAATAAGCTCAAGGAGACAAGGGCATTTAGTTTAGCAGTTTCCTGGTACTTATTCCAGGCATTAGGCACACAATAGCTAAAGGCAGTTTTTCCCAGTTCAGATTTGACTTGTGGCACCTCAAGGACTAACCAATCCTGAGATCTTGTCTGATAGAGATTAGAACGCCATGCAGTGAGCAATGTCAAGTAATTGGGCAGCTTTAAAATAATAGCTTTATACACTAACAAAGCAAATGCTTCCTTCTCCTAGCAGCCAGGGATGGCCAACCCACTGCCTGGTGAAGGTTACAATGATGTGTTCTGAAGTGATCACCAGTAATAAAATGGAGTGCTGAATGATATGCAGTATCAAGCTGTATCAAGGTGGTAGAAGCGGTGTGCATATAAATAATATCACCATAATCAAGTACAGGCAGGAAGGTAGATTGTATTAACAGCTTTGCATTTTCAGACGAAAAACACAATCTGTTTTTATAAAGGAACCCACGTATCATCCTTAAGCTTTTTGCTAGCTCATTAACATGAGGTTTAAAGGAGAGCTTTTCATCAAAAAAAACTTCAAGATAGGCTACTTATAGGAGGATACCCTTTCTATTTCAGAGCCATCCAAAGTGCTAATTTTGAAATGAACTTCCTCCATAAAGCAGGATCTAGAGAATGGAATAAATTTTGTTAAAACATAGCGCAATGACATCATAACGAGCTACAGTCTTATGACATTGAAAACAAAAGCCTTACATTTCTGCTTCAAAACAGAATGAATGCTATAGCTATCATAATTCTTTTTTCCCAATCTATCTAAACAGAATAATGCAACTTACAGCCTTTTAAACAATTTGAAATTGTATTTTGTTATAATAAATTATAAATAAGGAGAGTATTTTCAGTGCCTTAGTACTGTCAAATTACTGACAAAAAAAATGAAAATATATGCTAGTAGTTCCTGTTCTGTTACCATGGACAGTCACCATAGTAACGGACACAACAGGTAAGTTTTCATTTTTTTGTTATAAAGATCACCTTTTATATATGTCGATGTATTTATGTAGCTACATTTATCCACAACAGACATTGGAGGAACATTATTGGTAAGAGTATGTCAATCTGAATCACCGGTAACCTACTTGTATAAACTGTGTCAGTTTAAAACTGGACAGAAGGGGTACCATTGTTTACACTTCATTATTAATTAGGCAGGGCTGTGTGTGTGTGTGTGTGTGTGTGTGTGTTCGTGCTTGTCACACATTATTTACAGAGCAAACATGAATAATAATCAGTAAAACAGTTAGGGCTGAGAGTGTGCGGTGGGGGTGGCCTGGAGGGTGCTGCTTGGGGCTTCCAAAAAGGCTCTGTCCGGCCCTGCAGAGAACCACAGGCATGCACATCGAATGCTGCATGTAGCCTTATAAAGCATAACAACAGGGGCCGGATAACCGAGATAAAAGAAGGCTGGCGAGAGGTCAAAGGAAAATGTCGACTTCAGGATATTGCGATAAAATCCGCAGGAGCGTACAATCCTCACAGCGCTGCTCCGAACACTGAACCTGCACTGATCCTGTAACAGCTGGGGGCAGCGCGGGATGTTAGGATGGGTATGATGAACGTGTGTGGATGATGTGCACGCATCAAGGATTAATCCATCTCTGCTAGGAGCGGAGAGACTTCGGGATAAAAATCACCATAACACCTCTTCAACGATCTGTTCTGAATATTCCGGAAAAAGAAGCGGACGGGAGGGAGGCAGAGGAGAGAAGAGGAGAGGAGAGGAGAGGAGAGGAGAGGAGGAGGTGGGGAGCTCCAGGAGTGAAGGACGCCACCATCGTATCTCTGCATGGCTGCACTACTCTCCTGATTGACCGGCCCGCTGAAGGACCGACAAGCCAAACCCACCGGTGTGAGGACTGACAGTGCCTATATAAAGCCCTGCAGCAGCAGCCTTACAGCGGGTGTCTGTCATCAGATCATCATCATCCTCCTCATCTTCCTCCTTCTCCTCTTTACGACCTGCAGACTGACTTGGATTAATCATTCTTTTGTATTATCAGGATAGCATACAGCAGGAGCAGCCATGTCTCACGGATGGGGATACGGATCAACTAACGGTGAGGATCGGACAGCATGTAGCCTGCAGGATGTTCAGGTTAACAGGTTGAAAACATGCTGCCCCACTCTCAACTCACAGACAATGGCATTACTTCAGTAACTACTTCACCTCGGTAGTCTGCTTTGTTAAAACTTCAGGATAGGCTTGGTACTGACCTATTTAATACCAAACTTAATGCACTGTTTAAACAATGAAACACTGTTATTTTAAATTCATACATTTACAGAATCTGTTGGTCAGTCAGTAGGCCTAGCTATGGTGCAAGTTCTGAAAATCATATGACCAATTTTGAAAAGTGAGCTATTATTAGAGTTAAACTACCCCACCTGCACCTGAACTGGCCACAACATTCACGTTAATACATAAGTAATTTTGATCATTGATCATTTTAATGCTAAAAAAATTATTACTGAATTATGGATCATAATTATTATATTGAGGTATCTAAAAAGGATCTGAAAATATCTTCCAATAAAGCATCAGAACTGATATACTGTACTTTGTCAGGTACTTTCATTTTACTTTCCATTTTTAATGCTGCTTTAACAGTAATGCAGTAGTAATAATATAACAGTGTTATCATGCTGAAATAGGCAATTCTGCATATTCAGTACTTTTGCTTTTGATATTTTGAGTACATTTTTCTGATAATACTTTTCTACTTTATATTACTTTTTGTGAGTGTTTTGCACTATTGTATTGTTACTTTAAGTAAATGATGAGAATGTGACAAAGCTGCAGAGTAAACCTGAGTGGATTTTTAAATGTGGAACTCCTTATTACTCCTTATTTTTGTTGTCATAAATCTGGAATTAGATTGAGAGGTTGGTGTTAAAGTGCTCCCGTCACAAAACAAATTAGAACAGGAAAAACCACAGTGTGATAAACTTGTTTAACATTTATATTTCGCATTTATTTAATAAATGTATCTGTAGGACCTGACACGTGGGGAGTAGAATATCCTGTAGCTAATGGGCCCAGACAGTCTCCCATCAACATTGTCCCTAAGGAGGCCAAGTATGACCCCACTCTGAAGGCTCTGAAACTCAAGTATGATCCCTCCAACGCCAGTGGAATTCTCAACAACGGACACTCCTTCCAAGTGGACTTTGTGGACGACACAGACAGTTCCAGTAAGTGTGTGTGTGTGTGTGTGTGTGTGTGTACAGTATATATTTACCATTTAAAAGTTTGGAAATAGTTTTTTTGCCCCAGAGTAAGAGATCTGAAATAATCCAAATTTCCATTTGGTCTATTACTCCACACTGTTGCATGACAGGGAAGAAATCATTATCCAATCAGTCTCTAAATATGGAGTTTTTCAAGTTTGTCTGTTTGTCTTTACCTATCCAGTTTCAGCAGAGCTAACCCTAGTCTAGCCTACTTTGCCACTTAGCCACTTTGAATATTGAAGAACAGCTTTGCTATAGCAACATATTACCTGTTAATTCCAGCTTGTTACAGGCATTATTATGCGCTTGACACTGGAACAGGAACCTGTTCCTTTTTTAGTCTGCACACATTTTCAGGCAAACTCCAAAACGTACCAAGCAGTAACAAAGTGCAGACTGCTGTGAGACTTCTTCTGTTCTTATTTAACTGTTGCTCAGGTATCTTTGTCTCTTTCAGTTGTCAGTCTGGTTTAACTATTATACAGCGTTTCTTTCTCCATGTACAAAACAAACCCTTCATTCAAAATAACATGTAATGAAGACTTTCAAAAACCTAAGAGCATCACATAACTCAAATCTGACAAGACTCAGTGAAGCTTTTGTTGCAGGAGATTCCAAACTTGTGAACAATTAGTAACAGTAGTAGTAACCAGTAAGTTTTAGTATTAGTAAACATTATCTGTCCGTCTTGTTTATGCCTCCACCCCTGCTGTACTGTGGCAGATAAGAGCGTCTGATGATACTTGTTCAGTATCTGGAGGTCAGCAGGACATCAGCACCACCTCCCCCTGCTGCACTCACACTGTTTAACATTGGCAACTTTCATCCAACAGTGCAAATCATGACAAGCATATCAGTATTAAATACATTGCATTATGACAAAATCATTATCATTTATGAAACCTGAAGAAACAATATAGTATTTCCCCTTCTTAGTTTTTATGGTCTTTTTCACATTTTGACTTTTTTTTTTACAGTTTTAGAAAAAGCAGCATATTTAATAAGCATACGTATAATAATATAACACTAGGCCAAATGTCAAAAAGAGTATATAGCTTTTTATCTTTGGATCGGTTTGCATTAGTGGAAACATAAAGAAGTATTTCACTGTGGAAAGATAGTCTTTTTTAATAAACTAGGCTGTCTATATGGTGTAAAGATGCAAATACTTTGAAAATTGGTACTATATAACCAGAGCAAATGATGGAAAAAGGGCTGTGGCATTTGCTTTTGCTCAAAAAGTAGAAAATAAACTGCAACCAGATTGCACTGTGCCACACCAGATTAATAAATGCTCCCACTGGTGAGTGACGCAATGCAAGTTCATTTTGACTGGCTTGTCCACGGCAAATGATCCTATATTAAAGTCAAGAAGTGCATTAAAATATGTTTCTGAAAACATTTTAGACGCAAAAAAGACAATGCCCAATGGCATCACGTGATGGACCTAGATGATGTAATTCCGCTTTTGGGCAGTATGTATAACAGGCTTCAGAGCCTGTCACTGTCCCAGGGGGCTTAGTGGCGACGGGCACACAAAAATAAGAAAGTACAATCTGCACTTTGAGCAGCGGCCCTAGAGCCAGTAAAAAGATGATGCCAGATGACACAAAACAAATAAGCATGTAAACTGGGCGCTAGCGAGATGGAGGGAAGTTTAGCACAGTGCACTTACATATACTACCTACATTGTTATGCAACAGAGCTGGTTGAAAATCAGCAAAGTATCCTTTTAATACAGCATTTTATTTTCTGCAAATGAGGTCCTCATTTGACAATAGATAGTGACTTAACAGACATTTATTGAAATGAAAATCTTCTTTATTACTTTAAACCTTGTTTTCCTGAAAATGTCTCTAATGATTCTGTTGTTTTGTTCTAACCAGCCCTGACAGGAGGTCCTATTTCTGGAACGTACCGTTTGAAGCAGTTTCATTTCCACTGGGGAGCCAGTGATGACAGAGGCTCCGAACACACTGTCAACGGCATCAAGTTCCCCTGTGAGGTACTGAAGCTACTGGAGCTTCTGCTTACAGCTACCACATACAATAACAGAGCCTCAGTTCATGTTATGAAATGCATAGCTAGGTTGTGTGGTGGTAATTGTGGTTCTATCCTGTCTTTGTCAAGAGGTTTAGGCAAAAATTGTGACAGGAACAGATCTGTTCATAAGGGAATTTCTGGGGTTTACATTTTACAGTAAAAAAAATACTGGTTGATTTCAGTATCTAGCCCCAATATATTCAAATGTAACTATTTAGTGCTATACCCGACTTAGAGTTATGTCAGTCCAATCAATCAGATTTGGCTGATTAATACAAATATTCAACAATTCTTTTATACATATATATATATATATATATAAATATATATAAGTTATATGTTAAAGTTAGAAAGGACTCAGAGGGACATTCAGTGTGACAGTGGCATTAATGTAACATAGTAAACAAGCTAAATGCGCTAATGACAGATCAGTAATTTTTTTGCCAATACTAGATATCAAACGAAAGCCGGAGACTGTGTCGTGTTAGACCTCGATCACACAGAAGGGATTTTAGCAGCTCGAGGTAGCTTTTGGATTGTGTTTAATGAGAAGGAAGCTTTTTGCGTGCTGTTTTTGCGTTGTTACGCACCTCCCGTTTCTGTGCTCTACGCGCCTGGCGTTTTTGCCGGACTGCTCTGAACTCCTCGAGTTGAAAAAACTTCAACTCAGAGTGGAAAAGAACCCCATGTCATCTCCACTTTTTTTCCCATCATAAGAGGCGGGCCTTCTGTGGTGGTCACAACCTCAGCTGCAACAGTAAAAAGGCGCAGCAAGCGTTCTTTTTTTTCTTTTTTCTTTTTAACTAGTGACATTCCATTTAAAAAAAAAAGCCAGCGCAGTGCACCTCATGTTTTGCAACCTGCAAAATGATTTCTGTGTGATCGGGGTCTTAAGCTACTGTGAGCTGCAAATTCACCACTTCTAAGCAGAAGAGAGAAGATAATGTTATTGCGAAGCCTTACAATGCAGAGTCTCTTCTCCTCTGTGCCGCTGCATCACGTCAGCAGCTGTCTGTGCCTAAGCTTGGCAAGTCAAGAGCGCATACTCTGCATTAATATCTGGGGACCAGAACATCCCCAGTGTGTCCACAGCACACTGAAAAAAAAATACAAATAAAAATCAGTCCACTGAAGGGTCTTTGACTGATAATTTGAATATCTGACTTTCAAGGGCAGCCCTACAATTGTTAGGGCAATAGATAGAAAAATGAATAACTGATTCAGTATTCCTCCATCAGAATTTAAGTCCTTGCAGTTCGAAGAGGCCTTTACCAGCATTAAGATCATCATGAAGGGACATAGTATTTACATATAAACACGAACTTGGACTCATGACATCAGTATGTCTAAAATTCTGACTGTGGCCCTGCCATGAGGTGAGTAAGAGCGAGTGAATCAGTCATATAAAGTCCTACATTATCAGACCTTTCATAATTGTGCTTGAAAGGCTTGAAAACACTTGCAACTGGTCTCCTCGGCCCACTGTCTCATTCTTTGTTAAATATCCACATTATCGTTTATGTTAGGTTTTGAATAAAATTACATATTGTCTGTTGCTCATGTCTTAGACTTCTAACTTTGCCTCTTTTTCTTGTTAGCTTCACCTGGTGCACTGGAACACAAAGTACCCAAGCTTTAAAGATGCAGCCGGTGAGCCTGATGGACTCGCAGTGGTTGGGGTCTTTCTCAAGGTGAGTCATCGATGAGTCATTGACAAGCCATCAGACTGTGACAGCACTACAGACTGGGGGTGGGAAGCTGCCCTGCAAGGGACTATTTAAGCTTACGAGAAGAGCAAAATAATGAACACTGTATTTGAGTATTGTAAAATTGACTGTGTATGTATCTGTTTTGTGTTCCAGATTGGTTCTGCCAATCCCAGGCTTCAGAAAGTTCTGGATGGCTTGGATGCTATCCAGACCAAGGTAAATGTAATGATTGTAGAACTCCTAAAACTGTTTGGGAAACAAATAACTCTGCAGTCATGGTTAACAATGAGTAACAATTTCTTCTCTTCTCTCCTTCCTCATTCCTTCTTTTCCATCCCTCCTTCCCTGACTCCTGCAGGGAAAGCAGACCGTCTTTGCTAACTTTGACGCAAAGACTCTTCTTCCTGGTTCTCTGGATTATTGGACCTATGATGGCTCTCTGACGACGCCTCCCCTGTTGGAGAGTGTTACCTGGATTGTCCTCAAGGAGCCAATCAGTGTCAGCCCGGCACAGGTACCTAACTCGCTTTACCTACATAAAATCAGAATGAGTACTCCACCTGTACAATGCCACATTTTGAGTATTGATATACTTGTGATTTTGCTAGACACGCGTCCTGTGTCTCTCTCTGATGTTTTAAAATCTGAAAGGACGCAGTAAACTCACTATCACCACATCTTAGGGATGCACCCTATTTTTTCCCTGATAATGCTACATTGTGAACAACAAATCTATGTTGAAATCATAGAAATAAACAATAGACCCCTCACAGTCTGTATAAAATTATCTGCAGACCTAGTTGACATTATAGAGTGATGTGTTGTTCACTGTAGCTAACATCAACCCAGTTGCTAAAAACAGCTGCACAGCTGGATGGATGTCCTGGGGGCGAACAACACTGTCGCTCTGACTTTATCTGTCCATTTACTGCCAAGTGATTTTGTTAAAAGCATGTGTAATTAGAGTTCTGCTGTCTGACACCCAGCTCTCAGCCTGCATTAACCGAACACTTACTTCAACATGTTAGTTTAGCATTAGCATGAGCCTCAGCCTCCAACTCCATGAAATTTGATCACAACTTGATGCTCCAGAGTTGTGACTATCGTGACTTACTCAGTGAGCAGAGCAAGACACGCTGACACTTTTTTCTTCGTCTGACTGCAGGAAGGTGCGTTTGTTTCCCAGTTTGTGCGGTCCTTTTGGGCAGTCACCAAACACACCTGTAACTCAATATTATTAAAAAGTAAGAGACTCTACCTAGTGGTGGAACCGCACACTACAACAAATCAACACAACGTTTAAGTTATACACCACACGACCCTTGTCTTCCGCAGTGTCGGTTAATATATTTTTAAATGGTTAAATTAGAAACAGCAATTAACGATGATTGATTATTCATTGACATCCCGTCTTTAAAGAAATATTCTGATTTGGTGAAATGTGTGAGAGACAAGAAGCTGAAATGACTGAGTAAAGACGTATGGAAATAAACATTCAGCTTTAAACTAATTCTAGTGGTGGATGACCCAAATTTTCTCAACAGAGATTTAAATCTTTTTATAGCTATTTCTATGCCTTTCTGTATATGTATGTAATTTGTTTAATTTTCAGAGACATTCTTCATACGTCTTACATGAATATAACAGTAATTATGACCATATCACATCAAACACGAGTTTAACATTACAATTTGCTAAAAACACAAATTTTATTGGGGACCCACTCAAATGACCACCTGTGAGTCTTGGGGACTCCCTAAATTGAAAACCCAATCAACATCATTGTACTTGCTTTTGACTAATTGTACATTTTGGCTGTCCTGTGTACCCTATGATCCTTTTGAGCATTATCAGTATATGTTCTCCAAATCAATGCTAATCATCTGCAGGATACAGCTAAGCCTAGAGGTGTTACAGTTTAGAAAATTCACGGTTAGGTACGTTTATGGTACAGCAAAAAAGCAAAAATACCAGAGAATTTTCCTTCATTTTTAAAATTTGAATGTATGAAAAATAACATAATTTGGGCTTTTGTTTTTTGTACAAAGAGGAATTACAGTCTGGCTGAAATGGGCCTGTTAAAGTCTGGGTAAAGCAAAAAAAAAGTAATTTGTCTCAGAACACCATCCATCCATCTTCTAACCGCTGACACATAGAGACAGACAACCATTCACACTCACATTCACACCTAAGGACAATTTAGAGTTATCAATTAACCTAATCCCCAATCTGCATGTCTTTGGACTGTGGGAGGAAGCCGGAGTGCCCAGAGAGAACCCACGCTGACACGGGGAGAACATGCAAACTCCGCACAAAAGGGCTCCCGCACCCGGGATCGAACCGGGAACCCTCTTGCTGTGAGGCGACAGTGCTAACCACCACACAACCATGCTACCCCTCTCAGAACACATTATACATTGTGGAGTTAACTGTGGAGTTAAAACATTCAATTGTTTGCCAACATTTCTTTATCCAAACTCAAATTTTCCACACTTCACCTCTAACATAACCCCTTGCCTTCTTTATAAAACTATTTTACTATTGACATCAGAGTCCACAGTATCAGTGTTGTTTCTTTCACCTACTGTGTCAGCAGCGAGTTTGCTCTCTGAGTCTAATAAATGAATAAACACCTCTGTTAAATGTCAGTCATATTCACACAAGCTAAATAGCCATCACTAACGCACCTTTCAGTCTTTCAGCCCGAATCACCTACCCGGCCACCAGCAGTTACTGCTCACTGCTGTGGGTGTATGCTTAGCTAACAGTAGTAACATAACATTAGCTACTGAACGAGAGACTAGCCCCGCAGCAGCTCTCATTCCCTTGTTCGGGGGTGCTAACCATGTGTGTTCTACTGGGATAGCTGCAAGGAGAATCTGTAGCTGTGTGTTGGCTCGTTCTTTGGCTTGCTGTGTTTTTATCCACTGCTCTCTCTCACCATCGCCCTCATAATTTACAGCAAAACCAAAGTGGCCCCAAACACCAGAGCTGCAGGTTATCGGAAGATCTTCTATTTCTGATCTCATAATGGCATTACTGACCCTCTTGCAACGAGCTACCTCAGCGTAGCTGCCTCCAAATGTGTCTCAGTGAAGAAGAATGTTCTGGTTTGGGGGTGGGCAATGATCTTTGCTCTGATCTGCCAACTAGTGGATATATTCTTTAATCCTCATGAATATCACAAACTGTGAAAACAATGTTAATATAACATCGGGATATAAACATCTTTAAAGGTGTTGGAAAAAAAACTGTGTACTTAAAGTTGCATAGTTGCAAATCTGTTGCTGAGCAATTTCTGTTCTTGACTTGCAGATGAATTATAGCTTGTTGTTATAGTTTTGTTGTTAATTAACTTTCATATGAAACATGACAACCTCTTGTATAAGCTAATAAGTCAAAGGCTACAACAGTATATTTTAAACATGGTCAAAGAAAGACGCCCTTGGACTAGTTGGGGTCACAGTGTCATTTGTTTGAGCTGTTTTTGAGATTGGATGTTTGTTCTGCACTGTAAAACTGTATAAAGTAACAAATACATGCAGGATTGAACTTAAAACAACTAAACTGAAGCCACAGCTGGATTATACACTAGATATAATGTAAATATAGCATGGAAGGTCATGTGGTTTTGAGTGTTACAGTGCAAGTACATGTGTCTATGTGTGTGAATGTGCACTCAGTAGCCGGTGTGTATTTGTAGCAGTCCTAAATACAGACATATTTCTTGGCAGCCCACCTGCTGGTATGTGGGCTGGACATGCCGCTTCAGCACAGCGTTTCAATCATGTAGTCTGGAGAGACTGCTGCTGAATTCTCCAATGAAAGCTGAGTGTTCAACTTAATTTCGAGAAAATAAGAGGCGTGAAGTGCTCAGCCTTAGGCAGTCTAAGGAATCAAAAGAAGCAGCCAGTCAGTTACTGCAGAGTTAAGATAACTGCTTATTTCCTCATGTCTCCTTTTTAAGTCTTTTCAAAAAGCCTAATACACATTTTATACTTTGATTTGGTAATCACCTCATCGAGTGTGTGTGCATGGTTTAAGGAGCTAGAGAGTTGGTCAGAACATTGTCAAGGTCAAGAGCATCAGAAGCCTTATCATTCTGTGGAGCAGGGTGGGTCTGTGCCTTGAGTGCCTCGTGTTTCACTTAGATTACACTAACTGCCTGTATCTCCATTGGACAGTTTGCACTCTATCTCTTTACATAATTAACACCGCCGCCCTGTACCATCACGTGACACAAACCCACATTCCTGTTAAAGGTTTAATGCTCAGTATTACCTCTCTCTAAATAAACAATAGATGTATAACTAGCAGCTGTGCTAGTACAGAGAATTATATTCTTTCTGCAATGTAGAAATGAATACACATACTATAATAGCAGTTCAACACACACTGTGTTGTGACAAAGAAGTGCAGGCATTGCTGAGTGAGCCTGCTGAGGCAAATTAAATCCAATCTCACCTGGTAGCTAAAGGCTAAATGGCTCCCAGAGGAGCTGCTGTTTATGCCACACGGCTGCCTTTGTCATTTCATACAAACAGGCACACGAACACACAGCCAGGTCTTTTACACTCACTCTCCCTCCTAACGTGCTCACTTGGTTCTAGTAGTTCAGTGTTCAGAGATTGTGCTTGTATTGTAGGGACATAAAGGCTGTTTCAATTGTCGGACAATTTCCTGATACATCTTAATGCTAGTATGTGCAGTATGGGACTAGTGTCAGTGTCTGCATGGCTGTGTTTTGCACTGCCATGTGCAAATGGGAGATAACCACCACAGCAGGAGGGTGTGAGGTGGCTGCCCTGGTACACACTGGGTTGGAGACATACTGGAAGAAGTGAGGCAGCTGCAATAAATTCTACATTTCCTTGATTTACCATGATCCAGGTGATGCTTCCTTCGGTCCCAGGGACTGTGCAGTAGTAGAGCTGTAGTGCTGTCCTGTTTGGTCCTGCATAAATTAAAGTGCGCTTTGATTTGGCCAACTGAAGATACAACAGCTCATGGGAATGTTTCATCATTCTGGTCTGGACCCATTTGCATTTGAGAAATGACTGTATTGCCACAGACAATATTTGCTCCTAATTAGATGACAGGTGTTGGATACCAAACAGATTGCTGGGGAGTTGCCATAGCCTATTATACATATAAAGTTATATAAAATATATAAGTATAAAAAGCAGAACACTGGCTTATGGTAGGAACAATGCTCTGTGATGCCTTTTTTCTTCAAGTGAGGAATAAAATATATGCAGTTCACATAATCCGGTCAAAATTGATATATATTTTTAAACGCTTGAAGATCCACACATTAATAAAAGTGTATGTCATCCAAGAGAGACAATAAAAACTGAATGGTCAAAGTCGTCATATTGAAATTTAAGGTGTGTTGATGGATTCACGATATCAGCTCATTAGAGGTGCAAATCTTGTGGATATATCCGTGACATCCGCGGATATATCCACAATCTGTGGGTGGGTGGGCCAATAAAAATTAACATTGTAATTAATTTTGGGTGGATTGCGGGTGGATTTGTCAGTTACCCGTATGAAAACAGGAGGGGACCGCACACTCCGTAAAAACAGGGCACAAGAGGACTTGACTTACTTCAAAGACTTATATTATTGCAACAAAGCAAACAATATTAGGCTAGAGTAATTTTTACATTAGAAATGTGACCACATTCGAAAGTAGCCTTTAATCTTTTAATTGTTTAAGTCAAGAAAATGTGCCTATATGAAAAGCGAATGAGCACGAACGGCTGGACATAATTTAAATGTAAATACAATAACTTAATATTTGGCGCGGGTTGGGTGCGGGTCTCTAAATTTTAGAAGATAATTACGTGGGGTGGGTGGCGGGTGGATGATTGATGAGTACACGAGGATTGCATGCCTCGAGTTACATTATAAGTTAACGTTCCCCCTCCAACCCAGTGGATTAAATTAATTTTTTTTCTCAATCTACACCTGCTGCTAGAGGCAGCAAAATATTTTTCATTTCATATCTTAAACAGGCAACTGGACTTGCTTGTGTTTTTTGAAGATGTTTCACCTCTTATCCAAGAGGCTTCTTCAGTTCTGAATCATTTCCTTTCATAGTCATAGTTTACAAATATATGTAAGACTTGTCACGGTATGAACATTGGTTACATAAGCTTTAAAACCAGCCACAACTTAACCCTGAGCAAGAGTGACTGTCTGCTATTGGCCAGTCAACAGACCGCAGTGTTTCTAGCTCCACCTTTTAGTACCAGATCTGTGTTAGGTATCCCAACAGAGGGGTGACCAAAACTGGGGACAGTTGGGAATAGTTCCAATGGTACCATCCACAACTTTTCACAGTGGATATGGAAAAAATACACAACAAACTGAACTGAGCCATACTGGACTGCTTGGTGGAAACAGGGCTTATCTGTAAACAGCCTGTAAGGGCATAGCTTGAGACAAGGCATCAAAGCAGCAAGGCTGCCAGATGCAACTGATGTAGACAGATCCACTGTGCTGTCAAATAGATTGTTGCAAGAGCTGGATCTTAGTGGAATACGAATCACATTCCACTGTGGTCCCAGTGATGATGAGTTATACATGGTAGAACATGATATTTCAGTTAACACAAATGCATTACACGTCAGCTACTGTAATGTACTGCCTAATTATCTTTTTCTCTCTCTCCTTGTCTCTCCTTCCTCATTAGATGTGTAAATTCCGCAGCCTCCTCTTTACAGGAGAAGGAGAACCTCCATGCTGCATGGTCGACAACTACCGGCCTCCTCAACCTCTGAAGGGCCGTCAAGTCCGTGCTTCCTTCAGATAAACCCTGCTTTGTCTTTATTGCTCCCTTGCCCTCGTTTATCCTTCCTTCCTTACCCAAACCCTTTCACTCCTATTTTTCTCCACATGCAGTCTTTAGATTGCTTATATTAGCCCTATTAACATCAACTTGAAAAGTAGAATGCTATGATGTAGACTACCTGGATGTATCTTGAATAATAGAACTTACGTTTTGACACGCTTAAGACATAGGCTCCATTTACACTTGTCATTTTAAGGGTCTCATAATCAGACAAAATCCAGATGAAAGACACTCTCATTTACATATAGCCACATACTGTAAATGCATCTGTTATTCAAATCCCAAATCTTATTATAATCCTTCTTTGTTTTCTCGGCTACATGCAACTCAGGGTCAGCCCTCCTCCGGTCCAAAAGCAGGTGGTGCACCTGAAGCTGTTTGGTAACTGCCAATTACACCAGAAGAATAACTTTTAGACTTGTTTAGTGCACTGTTTAGTTCATGGATGTTTAAAGAGAACTGGATACAGTGTTACATGCCCTGTGAATTTGTGAATCCTAGGGTAGCGAATAAACGACCTGCCTTACTCTGCCTCTGATTGGCTTACCCTGACATTTTTACACAAACCCTTACCAATCCCACTCCTCTTGCCTAAACCCAACCAATCCGCCCAACGATGGCAACGAGTACTAGCCAATCAAAGGTAGCATAGGACAGGTCATTCCTTCAAAATCCTAGGATTCACAAAATTGCACCTTGTTCATTCCTATTAATGTTGCTCAGTGGCGCATTAAGGCAAAAAAGTAAAAAATTACCCAGATCTTCCATATTGTTAGGCCCACAAAGCAGGTCCTCTGGAGACTTTTGCTAGCCAAGCAGCTAACTTCTAGCCCTCTGCTAACTTAATAGCGATGAAATTAATTTAACGTGTGACTCTTCCAGATCTTAGAAATGTAAGCAGACTGAATAGATCAAATCCCGAGTACCATCACAGGAGTAGTGACACTCAAAAAAATGTATCCTCTGATTTAGAGATGTTCCTTTCACGATGTAATTTTATGAGAAAAGGTCTTTTTGGGCCCAATGGCATCACTCATAAGTTGTAGTCACACGGTTTGCCCACAATGTCAAATTGGCTTCGAAGTCCGGTGCTGGTTCTGGGGGCTTGGTTTGGTTACAACACTTAATCTGTTTAGCTAGTGTTAGCTAATAGCTATCCATAAGCCAAACAAGAACATGAATGAATCGTATTTATGAAGAGCAAGCGAGACAGAAATTTTATAGTTATTTTTCACAGCTCTAAGTTACACTACTCCCTCACTCATACAGCTCAATGCTCTCTCATCTCCACAGGTCAATGCTCTGGCTGGAGCTATTTTTTTCCGATTGCTTTAATGAGACGAAGAACAACGGCTAATTTCAGTGTTATTTTAGTATAACTTTAGGTGCTGTTATCACAAGGACAGAGGAGACAGAACATGGATGTAATAAGAAAATCAAACAGTGTGTGGCTATTTCAACAGACTGCTTACTGCTTATCTAGCTAGAATGCATCTCAAACTTCCTCTGGAGAGGGTGGACGCATGAAATGATTGAATGTAAATGTGGTCATAGATTGTGCATGCATGTGCTCAAAGAATATTACATAGCCTCCACATTTTTCACTTGGTTAGAGACTGCGCTATTACTGACAAAGGTAGCTTAAGAATTTTAGTCTATTAGCGTACACATGCCAGGGGACTAGTGATCTACTTACAGTGTCACATATACTAACAATGGGACAAGAATTCTAGCCCCTAATCTACTCATTTTGTTTGTGACATGTTATGCAACCCATTTTCTCTGGCAACTCTATAACTAATAATCTATATTATTGGTGTGTGCCAGTTTTTTCAATAAATATAATAATTTAAATCAACAGTAATATACTTTTTCTGAGCATTAATGCATTTAAGTAACAAATAAAGACATACTTCTTAGGCAGCTTTGTTATGTGAGCTATATCCAACAATTATGGGCAAAAGCACACCTAGCTTATTATCAGAAACAATAATCCCTCCATGATTTTTGATATGAATTTGCCTTGTTTGAAAATGAAAGCCTTTATCAACTTCTGGAAGCTTCTTTCTATGCATTTCAGTGTGTTGTGAATTGTGCTGCAGACAGCTACTCAGATTGTTAAAGCTAATGTTTTCATTGATGCCTCATCTAAGTCAGTTTGTGACAAAGTGATCACATGGAGTTTGGGACTATAATTTTGCAGCAGTGACTGTACAGTTGTGCACTGTGGCTGCCACCCATCAAGTGACACTTGTATACACGAAGGTCTTTAGATTGGTAAAACTATGGAATACTCCGGTATATTGTGAAAGACATACCAGAGTATTGGCTGATGGTACAGTCTGAGGCCATGTCCACAAAAATGCAAGTAAAAAGATATTTTTTTGTTTGTGTTGGGCTTCCATCCATTCTGGGTAAACATAGTCCTTTTTTCTTTCTTTCTTTCTTTTTTTTGTTTTTCCAACATGTGCATTACTGTGGTTATGGCTCAACGCATTCTATCAGTGGCAGTACAAGTGTAACTCCATGTTGTGTTAAAAAAAAAAGAAAAGAATACTATTACAACTTAACTACCTATCACCACAGTGCATTAAACATTGCCTTTAAGGCAATTAGACAGCTGTTAAGTTGAAAATACTTGAAAGAATCAGTTTATGACTATACGTAAATAAAAGCTACAGTATCAACAAAGGTCACAGAATCTTTCATTAAATTCTTTTAGATTGTCAGCAGTGTCTACAGTCATTACTGTTATAGTCATTTAACTAAACTGAGATAGATGGCAGATATACATAATAGACCGGAGCAATGTTACTTTTTAGTTTCAATATTAATATAATAAAACAATCAGTTTTCAGAGTGTGGCTATAGTGAAACAGTAATAACCCTTTAAAGTGTGTCACTTAAAATTGCTGTTACACATTGCAGATGAAAAAATGTTTTTGTGTGTGAATCTGCCATGTCATAATGGAACGGAATTTTATCAATAAAAATGTATAACTTGCCAGATGTCTCACATTGACCTTCTTTCTCACAACTCCTAATGACTTATTAGTATTAAGTTGGTATTCAAGTACAGGATATAATACATGATTACTCAAAAGAGCCTGGTATCCACAAATATTTTACTGTGCTATATAGAAATGTTGGCCTGTGTGTTGGTCCAACATTTTGGTCCAAACTGAAATATGTCACCAGTGAATGGATTGCTGTGGAATTTTGTACAGACATTTATGGCCTCCAGAGGAGGAATCCTAATGACTTTGGTTATCTTTTGACTTCCTCTAGCGCCACAATGAGGTTGATACTTGAGGTTTTGCATCCAGGTCTCACTCAGAACTGACGCTTGGTCAGTGACTTCCAGCATCAGACACCAGCAATAAAAGCTGTTCTTTCACAATGGCATGACTGCGCAAGGGGGAAATGCAATGGGACAACAACAAAAGTTAAGGTGGCGGTAGTCCAAGTAAGGCGGGCGGGAGGGGTGGTGGATGGTTCCATCAACCACTGACATTCACCCAGGACACTGGTGTTCACCTTCCATAAGATTGTACAGCCAAACCCTGTTCTTTTTCCTTAAATCCAACCACGTGGTTTGTTGGCTAAACCCACTTACGTGCATTTCTTGCTAAAGGAAAAAAAAAAAAGTGGCGTTGTACTGATGTTATGCCTTTATTTTTGAAAGACACTTTATGCAAACTGTACATTTCCTGTGTATTTTCTGTTTTGAAAACAGAAAATGCATGCAATAGGCTGAAGTTGACATGTTGTCCCAGAATGTCAACAAGCAAAGCTCCCAGGGTACCCCTCACATCTCGACGTGGAAAGTCTATGACTAAATGTTGATATGTGACGAGGTTGGAATGAGAATGTATTGGTGTTTTGAGTTACACGTCTCAATAACTGTTTAATGGATTGCCATGTAATTTGGTACAAGTATGGTTCCCACTGGTGATCTTCTAAATTTTCATCTCATGCCATCAGCCAAATGTTAAAACTAAGATGGCGACCATGTTAAACATTATCTGCTAAATATCAGCATGTTAAGATTGTCATTGTGAATATGTCAGCATGGGATGCTCACATTTTGCTCAGAGCATGGTGCAAAAGTAAAACTTTATGCCGATGCAGTTTCATCACTTTCTGTGAGAGAAATATTCTATTATAAATAAATTGTGCCATGGCCCTTGGAAGGGGGATGAATTGTAGGCCTATTGGCTAGTGATGGCCTTATGTAACAATGTTTGGCTGTTTGCTGGTGTCGCTTCCAACACTCCTTTGTTTGTGTCCTCATCATTACAAACCATTAGCCGGATGCTCTTTGTTGAACATTGGGCCATTTACCAGTCTCTGACAGTCTTTTTCAGTGTCTCAGCTGCGGCGATGGACGAAAGGGGAGATGATGACTGAGACTGAGAAAAGAGACAAAATCACAAACATAAAAATGTGTGATAAAAAATGACAAAATTTAGTTTTACTTATGTACAGTAATTTTGTATAATATGGCAATACATCAAAAGATGTTTTGTAACAAAGCTCAATGATTCAGAACTGTCTAAGATGGTCATAGAATGTTACATATGTAAGGCTGTATACAACAGCTCTGAAATACAAACAAATTACTTGATTATGATGAGCAACATAGAAGCTGAGAAAATAGTGGGACAAAGTGGAGATCACTGGTGCACAGTGGTTTACATGACCTTCAAAATTCGAACAATAATAGTAGGAATATTAATCAAAGCAACTCTTACCTTTCTTGCATTTCACACAGAACTTAGAAAATGATAGACGTAGGCATTGGCATGGTAACGTTAGATACACAGAAGAGGAGAGCGAGTGTAACGTTACAACCAAGACAGTCAAAAGCAACCCCGGAGTTTTAAAACTCAACCGGAGTCAGTGATGACTGATGAGTTATAAAATTAGGTTACAGTGCTAACGTTAGATAGTAGCATTAACATTACTAGTAAGTGGAAAGGCACAAGGAAGATAACGTTAATGTTTCAGAGGCTATGCTACAGTAGGCTAACGTTAGCCATTAGCAACTAGATGCTGTGTTGTCATATATAACATTATGAACTGAACTGAACTTCATTTGTCATTTTTATGCGCATGTCTCAGTGAACACAAGGACGCAGCAGTCCCTCACTCCTCGGCGAGTGGATCTCCACAGTCAGATGTAATCCATTTTTGTGTCCAGCGAGCGGATGTTCTCCAGAAGGCCGCTGGGAACAGCTGGTTTGATGGGGTTAGCTTTTAGCCAAGAGCTAACCCCTCCACGCTCCCCCTGCTCCCGTGTCCTGTCGCAGCGCTGCCCGGTGTTACTTGAAGTAGGTAGGCTACTGCAGCTGCCCTTAAAATCTATCTACTGTATGCACACAGTCTGAATATACTACTTTCTCATAACATTACGTCCTGAACTTTGACCCTCTTGGTTTAATATCCATTACCTTAGAGATAAAACAAACGTCACTCAACGAGTCCACCAGAGATGGAGATCAACGCACAATGCTCTGCTGTTGTTCCTTTGCAATATATGTTGTTTTAATCTAAAGTTGTAATTGTACAGATTGTATATGTATGTGTGTGTGTGTGTGTGTGTGTGTGTGTGTGTGTGTGTGTGTGTGTGTATGTGTGTGTAGGCCACAGGATCCTCTGAATGATGGCGTGGCTAAATGGCCGGAAGCAGAAAGTCCACAGTGGACTTTATTTTTTCAATATTTTTCCAAAACAGTGGCCCTAATACTCCACTGAGTGAAAAAAAATAACCCAAGCACTAGAAGAAAAGGTGGTGTACATTTCTGCAAACCACAGATATGTTAGTTTTGCATGTTATTGTGCAGCATTAGGGTTAGAATTGAAACTTAACATTTCAACAACACTTTGGTTAATGTGTGGTTATATTCAGGCACAAAAACCACTTGGTTATGGTTAGGAAAAGATCATGTTTTGGCTTAAAATACCCAAATGAGGAGCGCAATATGAATGAAAAGCAACAACGTCACGGTAAAAAATAACCACTTAAGCCCCAAAACAGATGTTTGGGGGTTGAAAAGCAAGTGGAAACACAATGATTTCCCAAAAAACAGCCGGTTTTGCTGTTTGTTGGTCTTGAACAGTGATCTGCAGCTTGGCATATGTCTCGCCTATGTGCCACACCATCACCTCCATCTCCTGATGTCGTAATCAGCTCACATACTATACCACTTAAAAAAGGTTGATATGATTTGTATGACACAAGCAATTGTAACATATTTGTGATTTGCAGAATACCAACATGTTCTTCTGGTGACTGAGCTGGATAAAACTGATGGGCACAGTTACAAAAATTATTAAACTGGAATTATCCTTTAACTGTTGTATTTGGTCCTGTTAATGGTTCATTGTCTCTACAGTGTCTTCTTGTCCTTGTCAGGTCCTGTCTGATAAATCTGGATAGGATATTAATGACAAGACAGATGACCCAGAATTGGCAGCAGTACCAAAAATGGCCATGTCCACTTCAAAGGCAAACTGAAGAGGTTTACTGTGTGTGTGTGACTGTGTGCATGCATGTGTGTGTAGCGTGGCTGTCAGGATATGAAAGGGGCTTTGATGAATTTGAATGGGCTCTATGCTTCAGAGACTGGTCCACTGTTTTAGAGTGAGACAATGGCAGACAGAGAGACAAGAGAGATACTAAACTGTCACTGAAGATGGTTTGGAATTTATGAATATGCGGATTGTGTTGTGATTGTAAACATGATTTTTGTTAATCCGCTGTTCCAAAGATTCTGTGCTGCTTTGACAGAGAGATGCATGACTAATCCTCTGTGTTAACTCCAAATATTATGTAATGAAAGGATTCCCTCACCAACTTCCTCTCTCTGGCACTTCATCCACCCCTCCCCCTGTCCCATAGTAACATACAATACCACTTTCTCCACGGCTGAGTGACAACAGTAACCATGGAAACTGCATGATCATATCATAAAATATAGAAAAGCAGGGGAGTGGGAACAGCTTTTCATTGCAGCAGTTTGCAGGCTGACCTGTGTGATGTGTTCATCTGTAAACAGAGCTTGTCCTCATGGGGCTGCACCTTGATCATTGTGCTGGGGTTCATGACCCTAGATGTATTTCTCTGTGTAAATTATACTATAAAATATTGGGTGTGCACAGATACACACTAAAGTTAGCTATAGTGGGAAATATGGAATGAGGATCATCCAAAGCTCGGTGGAAGATATGTACAACTCAGTTACTTGTTATATAAAAAAGCAGGCTGACAAGAAAGCTATTATTTGGGAAGAACAAATTATTGACTGTTGGTCAAAAAATGTGTTCACATTGTTCTACAATTGTGGGTTTGGTGATGTGTTTTTTAAAATGAAAAGCTCAGCATTCATCTGTTGTTTACAACTGTGTTTACTCAGAGTAAATAGCAGTGTACTGATGAGGATAAACCAAACTGTGTAGATTTAGGATGATATGAATATGGTACTGAGAACTGTGTTTTGTAAAACTGTAAGCAAAGATTGTTATGCGCCCAGCTGTGATCTGGTATTTCACGACTTACTGTTGAAACGTGTTCTTCCAGACTGACACAATGTGCAATGTGCTGTCTGAATGAGAAAATGAGTTCCATTTTGTTTTCTAATGTACTTTGTACTTTGTGTAGTAAATTTAATTGCACTCAAAACTTATGTCAGACTCAAAAGAGGGTCCATAAATATAAAAGAATATAGAACATACAAGATAGAAACCACCACAATTCATCATTAATTTAAAAAAACAAAAACAAAACAAAAAAAGTCATATGCAAGCTATCTCGCCAGCGTTTTCTGAGTCTGGATTAAGATAAGATAAGATAAGATAAGATAAGATAAGATAAGATACACTTTATTGTCCCCTAGGGGAATTTGACTGGGACTCCAGTGCTGGCACATGTAGCTGCTTATATGGCGAATAAATAATTAATAAATACAAATACAAATCTAGGCCACAGGCCACATATTGCACATG